CCCCCCTCCCTAAACGTATCATGATCACTCGCGTGTTTATCTGTCTTATCATTAAGACAAATCTTGTACACATAAAGGCGAACGGGCTGGTTGGAGAGCGCTCAGAAATGGCTTTAACTTCTGCGCTATGCACCTGTTGGCTTTGTCTGCAGCATATTATTGTGGTTTTTTTCTCTTCTTTATTTTCTCAAGAATACGAGAACGGTTATGTTGTCTATGTGCTTCTCGTAAACACATGCTTGGCACGTAATCCGATAGCCATTGGCTGAGGAATGATTCATTGTAGAAAACTTCCATGCAGCAGTTTGCATTTTCTTATATGCGTATACACAATAAAACTTGACCCTCTATACATGTGTACAGTACAGCACCAGCGGTGGTTGGTTTGTGGATGCTCTCGTGTGGTTTGCTCCTTCTTTCCTATGAAACATCTATTGTTCTTATCTCTCCTTCTTGTTTTCTTTTGGGTGTGTTTGTTACGCTCATGTAATACCTCTAACCTTCCTTACTTATAAATGGTCTTATTGTGTTACAAGTGCTGTGAAACACTTACTAAAACTAAAACTAAACTTACAATCAATCCACTTGTAAAACTTGACCCTTTATACATTCGTACCATATTACACCCAGCGTCTATGGTGCAGCGGTTAGACGCTTCACTGTCGCACACAAGAGACCCGAGTTCGATTCACGAGTAGGGAGAATCTTGTCATCAAGTATCTCCGTCTCTCTGCAAGAATGTTCTAGTCCGGGTTGACCTTGACAGTCAGGATCAGAAGCCCGCCTCCTAAACTAAAAATCCTAATAATATAAACTGTCTCGATGGGCGCGTAAAACACTAACATTTATATGAGGAGTCCACTGAAAAAAACGTGCATAGTCACAAACTGGAAATTGTGAGGGTGTCAATTTTAAAAGCTTGAGGGCTCATAACTTCACATTTGTGGTTTATTTTACATGTTTGTTGGATGGGAAATCTAACAACAATAATCAACCAACAGCTGAACAGAAATACAGTTATGGGTCAGCAAGTGTTTGAATATATAATAATAGACATAATCACACACATGGCGTTATAAAATACCTTCAGATTGGAAATATCTATTGCAGTAAAAGAACTAGAGCGAACAGATCATGAAAGCAACAAGGTTTAAGTACAGGGAAGAAACCAACATGGAATGAATGACCCGAGCATTTAGATGAGCGTGGGGTCGCCACTGGTCGTCACAGACCAAACGTCCTGTGTGTATGTGTGGGTGTGGTGGTGTGTATGTGTGTGTGTGTGTGTGTGTGTGTGTGTGTGTGTGTGTGTGTGTGTGTGTGTGTGTGTGTGTGTGTGTGTGTGTGTGTGTGTGTGTGTCCAGGGAAGGGGGGACAGCGATGTTGTTGCTTGTTCTGGTGCTGGTGTTGTGGTTTTAAAAGCTGTTGTTGCTGTTGCTTTTTTGTTGGTTTTGTTGTCGTTCTGTGTGGGTTTTTTTGGATTGTTTTTGTCGTTGTTATTATTGTTATTGTTGTTGTTGTTGTTTTTGTTGCTGTTGTTGTTGTTGTCATTATCATTGTTGTTTTAGTTCATGCTGCAATTGTACAAACAAATATCATTGTTGTTTTTGTTGCTGTTGCAATTCTACTTACGATATCGATGAAAAGAATAAAATAATAATAATGGTATAAAAATGATAATGCATATTATTGAATGATGAGGATAATAATCATAATAATAATAATAACAATAATGATAACAGCAACAATAATAATAACAATAATAATAATAATAATGATACTACTACTACTACTACTACTACTACTACTTACTACTACTACTACTACTACTACTACTACTAATAATAATAACAATAATAATAATAACAGTTTGTCCGTCTATACCTGACGATGACCCAATACATCTGCACCTCTTTTCTTATTCTAATTACTTAGAAAAAAACTCCTTCATTGTACAGTAAGCCAATGACTGACTAATAACGAGCATTATGATACTTTACGAGAATAATTATGTACGCTCGCTGACCTTGAAGCAAACTATTTAAAAAATGTACACTCCTTATGGTGATAGACCATGATTTATCCTACTTGTGAAATTCCCAGTTGCAATCACTTGCTGAAACTCGTATTACAAATTGGCAATTTCACTCGTAGGATAAATCATGATCTCCCGCCATACCTCGTGTAATACATTTTTTTTTTTCTGTAAGAGCATCAGCTTATCCCAGACGTCAAGAATGCGCAACGTTTCCCTCCTACCTAAAGATGGGCTCCAGGTATAGCCAGGTGGATTGGACCTTGAGCCAGGAGTCCATGATGTCCTGTAGGCTGGACAGTTGTCGTTCGAAAGTTCTGACAGCAGGGAGAGAAATCAAGTCAGGACGGGACACTGAAGCACAGAGAGATGGCACGGTAAAGAACAGTGTCGGTTATTTGAAGGCTTAATGGACAACACACTTTTTTTTAACCAACTAAAGGTTAGAGTGCATTCCAGAGACATTTGTAATATTAATTCTTGGTGTGTTACACTCCAATCGACACTAATTAGATCGTCTGAGAGACTGAATGTCAGGGACAACCCAGGCTGTGAGGGTGGTAATGTCCTAGCAGACAGTCGGAGACACTTACTCTAAAAAACCCTCTCACACTCAGGAATCGAACTCTAGTCTTCTGCGTGAGATAACGAAGCGCCTAAACTCCACAGTAATAATCACAAAACAGAGAGTCAACAACGTATAAATTACACTGAGGTCAGCTAACGGAGAATGGGGACTAAAGAAAGAACGGTCTTTTTTTAGCATTAATAGGTTTTTTTCTGACTAGTTTGAGTCAAAACAAGCATATTATCAACACCATGACTCACTGTCATTTTTGTGTGAAAAGAAATACAAGATTGACAGACATAACTAGCAGAGTGAGAGCGAGAGAGAAAGAGAGGGGGTGAGAGCGAGAGACAGAGGGAGAGAGAGAGAGAGAGAGAGAGAGAGAGAGAGAGAGAGAGAGAGAGAGAGAGAGAGAGAGAGAGAGTGTGTGTTTGTATGTGTGTCTGCATGTGTGTGTGTGTGTGTGTGTGTGTGTGTGTGTGTGTGTGTGTGTGTGTGTGCGTGCGCGCGTGCGTGTCCATATATGGGAGTAGCACCATGAAACACGGTTCCTCAAACACCCAATCAATCTCAAGAGCACCCAGTTAAGGAATGTGGGTTAGGTGGGGCTAAGCTCCCTCGGAGCATCTGGTAACGGCTCGCATGGAAACGAACAACAAACATCAAACGTACGGATGACGTCCTTTGCGAGGACCGCTAAAATGTATTGTACACAGGTTTGGGCCAATATAAGACCGAGAGGTTAAAGACACATGACGCACTAGAACACCCATTCCTCGACCTACCAGTTTTAAGAAAACAATGAAAATTATTACTCTTCTCTTTGTACTCCCATGTGTCGGTATGCAGGCATATATACTTACCCCCGCCCCCCTAGACATGCACAGACGGGTGTACACACACACACACACACAC